GGTGACAGTTTTTAGGAGGCCCACGGCCACCTGACAGCATCAAGTGTTTCACATTAACCTTGACCTCGTCTGAAAGGCTTTTTGCTTGCTTCCATCAGCAGGGGGGAACAACACAAAACCTGGCCAGGGCAGCCATTCGCCCGTGCTCGCTAAGACGCCACTGGAGAGGGAACAGACCGCTGAGGCCCAACTTCTCCTTCCAGAGCTGCTCTGCATGGAAATGAAGTGCTGGACAAGGCTTTACCCCAGGCCAGTTCATGGGGTACACCCCCAAGCTGTGGAGAGGCAGTCTCCTGACTCAGTTTACCTCAGATGTATGGGGGGGGGTCTCTTCCTTCTTGTTCGAGTCAATTTCTGAAGTTGGTTTATCTGTGGGACGCTTTGTGTCAACACTGTAAATTACTTCTAGAAAAATAAGTCGCTTATTTTTTCCCAGGGTGGGAGTGGGAGGTCTTTAAGTGCTACTTGGCACAATGGGACGAGCACCTGTTACTAGGGAGAAGGTTTCTTAGTGAGACAGCTTGGAGCCAGGAGGACAGGAGGACTGGTCACTCCTCTGAGTTGGGGCTTGGGACTTGTCTCTGCCTCCCTTTTCCCAGAGCCTGCTTGACCACAGGACACTTGAGGCTCTTCAGATCAAAGGAAGAAAGCTGCTGGTGGTTGCGGGGATGGCAGGGCGGGCAGAGTGGGACTGCACGGAGGGTGATTCAGCACCTGCCTTGTCATGCCTGGTGCCCAGGCTGAATGGATTTTTGGAGTACACCTGTTGTTGAACCCCTGCCAAGTACTGATGGCCACTAACCCCCCAATCACTTTCCCCCGCTGTTGATGTTTGCAATGTCAGACAGCCCCAAGCAGCAGCCGGCATGTATTTCAAACACGGCAGATGGATTTTTATATTAGCTCCTATTTCATGTTCAGGCAGAGCGACCGCCACAGTGAAACCGCAGCCTCGGTGCTGCCGGCTTTGCTTCTGTGAGATTAATTCTGTGAAATTAATTGGGACAAGATTGAAAAGGAAATTAAAATGCAGCTGAGTGAACAGGCCTTTCTAACACCTTTTCCCTGCTCGATTCAGACTTGAATTCTGCCGCGGTGGTCGCAGGCCTCGCGGGGAGTCATTTAGGAGAGGCGGGCTCTTAGGAGCGATCGGTTACGTTTGAGAAGACCTGCACCAGCCCCACAATCTGGCGCCACTGAAGAGCGTTAAGCACCCCGCTGTGGCCTTCCCTGGGTCCTGGCCCTGGGGGAGGGAGGCAGGCCGGCTCAGCTCCCCCACCCGGAAAAGCTGTTCAGAAATATCTGGGTCCAGAAGGAGCACGGAGAGCATCCACCGGATACACAGATCGGATTCGTTATTGAAGGCTCCTTTAAATATCATTTATGAGCTCAATAGGAGCGTAATGAATTAAGAGCTGCTAGGGGCCCGGATGTGCCGGTATGTGGAGGTGTTGTCCAGCGGTCAGCCGGGGTCCTGCTGGTGACAGTGGCATTGGTTGCTGCTGCTTCACAGCGTGGAAACGCGGCTCTGGTCTCTCCTGGAAGAGACTTGGGGAGCATCTAAGTGATGGAGTTCCACACAGGCCTCCTCCCTGGGTGGTTTTCTTTTGTGTTGTATGGAAAATTGACCAGACAGGCCACTTTCCCTTCTTTTTCAGTTCACCAGTAGCTGACTGAAGTTTTACTGCGTGCCGATCTGTGACCCAAAGGCTTGCTTGTTAGTGGAGGCGAAGGGAACATAATAGTTTCCATTTCTAAGATACCAAGGACTTTTTTTTTTAAAAGGTCATGATGCCTGCAATTGATTTATTTTTAAAAAATCAATTATTCATTTTTATTTATTTGAAAGGCAGAGAAACCAACAGAGAGAAAGAGAAAGAGAGAGAGAGAGAGAGAGAGATCTTCTACCCTCTGGCTGACTTTCTCAAATGCCCACAATAGCCAGAGCTGGCCCAGGCCCAGGCCAGGAACCCGGGGCTTTGCCTAGGTTTCCTACGTGCATGGCAGGGACTGAACTACCTGAGCCACTCCCTGTGGCCTTGCAGAGTTCAGGTTATCTGGAAGCTGTGAACCGGGGTACTCTGATATAGGGGTGCAGGTGTCCTTAAGCTGCGGGTTCTAAGCTGAACCACACACCTCCCCCTGCCAGGCACTGCTTGATACAAATCACAACAACCCTAGGAATAGAAGTTATTTCCCAGTTTTTAACCAGAAACCAAGGATTAGCAAGATTAAATGATACTGTCCAGGGCCATGTAAATAGCCCATCACTTACTTATCCAAGGGCTGCATCTTTCTTGTTCAGCTAATTGTCTTCTCTCTAGATTTTTTTTTAAAAGGATGAATAGTGTCCCGCCCTTTGCTGGTACCAATCCTACCCAAAGGCAAGACTAAAAGTTTCTCCTGAGTTTGATCCAAGTTTTCCAGAACTCAAAGTTTAGATCACATTTGGGTGATTACTAAGAAACAGCAAAGGAAAGGGAAAAAAAGGGGGGAAGAAAGAAAAGAAGAAAGAAAAAGAAGCAAAAGACACCAGAATTGGACTGAAGCCAATGCGTAGGGCCCCCCTACCCTCATCCTCCTTGCCTCCTCCAGCCCACTTCCCCACCACAGGAATATGAAGAATATTTCTCTGACAGAGAAGGGGAAATTAGAGGGCAAGCAGAAGTGGAAACGTGGGTTAACCAGAGTGACTTAAAACAAAGCCAGAGGTTTCGCATGGAAGTGCTTCAGTGGTACAGGAGGGGGAAGGCAGTGGGAAGCTGACCTGCCACCCCACACACTTCCTCCCTCACCTCACAGGGGAGGAAGCAGGTCTAGGCATGCTGAGCTGCACCCACAGGCTTGCTGGTGGCATTGGTCAAGAACACTGACTCACTCAGTGTCCCCGACAGCAGCCCCTTCCTGCCGGACACAAGCCAAGCAAGGGACATGGAACTTTACAGATTCTCTTCTCAGGACTCCACTTAGGTCAGCTGTGACTGACCAGGTTTGAGAAGAGGGTAACTGAGTCCAGCAAAGCCAGCCAGCTGAGACCAACATTTAGGATCCGTAGGAGAGAACATTCTGGATGACTCCATCCCTGTATAGACAGAGGACTGGGACTAGAAAGGAAATAACTTGTTTTTTTCTTTCTGTCTGAATTAGCTCCTTTGTGCTTCTGAGAGGCAAGGGAATGGACTGGGCTGCCTTCGAAGGCTCCTTCCTGTCTGGTGCATCAGGTTAGGTAATAGCAGTAGACACAATCAGAAGTGCTCCCAGAACCACAGCAAGGATGGCAAGGGAACTCTAGCTGGGAGAACTTGCTTCGTCTGATCCGCAGGCATCAGCAACTCAGGGAAGGCTGGGGAAGCCTTATGGGCTGAAAATGGACATGGAAGCTTCCAGAAGAGTGGAGAAGGAGGCCGAGAGAACCAAGGCAGCCAGGGTATTCTCACCAAAGCAGGCTCTATAGGCTAGCTGTAGTAACAGAGGGAGGGAGAAAGGATTGTGTTAAGGAAAGAAAAAAAAAAAGGCAGGTGGGGGTTGATTCCCTCATGGTCTTGGATATCTCTTAAAAATGCAGCGGGACAGGCCACTGTGCAGACCCTTCCAGCTGGTGAAAGGGGACCCCCAGTGAGAAGCCATTAACAAAGGCGAAAGACATGCAAAGCAAACAAAATCATCGTGAAAAGGCCAGCCGGCAGTCTGGCTCGCCGCGGCTCCCTCCCGCTGCAGGCACCTCTAGACAATGTAAACAGTTCATTTGTTCACCTGCAGGCTCTGGGCAAACAGAGGCCCGGTCACACCTGAGTGGATAACTCGATTACCCCTGTAATGCCAGGGTGGTAATGTACACAAATTCTATTACACAGAAAACCTTGCTTTTGGGCATTTGAAATACCAATCAGGCCGGTGTCCACTCCCTTCTTTGCTTCCAATTTATTCTTGGTGTATTGGAGCTCTACTGAAATGGCACTGGGGTGGTGCAGAGTTAGGGATCCGAGAGAGAAATCCGCTGTAAGACTGTGGCCACGCTCAGCAGAGCCCATTCACTGCTGCCTTCTCCTTCTTGAAAAGGGTTGGGTCTGAAATCTTTTTTTTTTTTTCTTTTTAAAGGGGCCTGAGTCTTTGCAACACCAAGTACTTTGGGTCAGATCTGGCCCATTTCCCAAGGGAGCTCAGGGTATGTTTCTGAGCCGCTTACAACATTCCCAAGATAAAGATAAATGGTCAATGCCAGGTTAGCAACATAGCGGGTTTTCAATGCTCTTTTTTTTTGGAATCCGCACACTCAGCAATTAAAGAGCAAATTGTGCCTATTCATAAAAAATGTGCTTGTGGATATTGATAGCACGGATAGGACTTTTGATATGTTCTTAGTATAAAGGGACTTATGGTCTTAGCCCACTTACAGCATGTCACTGATGCCCCCCAACTGGAGCCCATGAGCCCCGAATCTTCACATGCAGTGATGGATCTGCAAAAATTACTCCTACTTTTTAAAAAGCCATTTTTTTTTATGATCAACAATGCTATTCGTGAGCTGATTGATTCGCTGGGAGCTAGGGGTTAGCTTATGACTGAGAAACAGAATAAAAAGTTAGTGGGTCTGTATGGGTTTGGGTTCACTGTCTTGGACTTATCAATAGTTGCTCAAACCAATCGAGCTAACTAGCTCTGACTCCTCCCCCTCACGTGCAGTGTTGTCACAGTTTTGTTTATGAATGAAACACAGGCGGCTTACCTAGCCAGAAGGTTTTCAATAGCATTATATGATAATAAATTATGTACAGTACAAGTCCCTGGAAAAGATCAGTTTTTGATCAGGATTATTTCAGTATTGACTCTGTTGTGCTTTTTACATTTGAAAATTGGTCTTTTCCAGGTCAGTGGGAATTTATGTTATGTGTAAAAGAGGCACGGAGCGCGCACATCGAACAATCCTGGTTAACAGCGGCTGTACTGCCAAGAGTAAAAATCATCCCCTTTGATTCCAGTCCCACATTCTGTGTCCTTACCTTGCTTAGAATGCGGATGAGGTCACCCCGTTGGAAGGACAGTTCATCTGGCTGGTCACCATGGCAATCCCACAGGCCCTGGTAGTAACTGGCATAGTCCACTGATCAAAGAAAGGAAAAAATTCAAAGTTAGAAAAGACTGGGGGTGGGAGTTTGGTGCAGTAGTTGGGTCACCTTCTGGGACATGAACATCCGATATCACAGGGTCTGTTTTAAGTCCTGGCTATTCTGCTTCTGATCAAGTTTCCTACTTTTAAAAAAATATCTATGTATTTACTATTTTTTATTGGACATGCAGGTCAGATTTACAGAGAAAGAGAGACAAAGATCTTCCATCCGTTGGTTTGCTCTCCAAGTGGCCACAATGACCAGAGCTGAGCTGGTCCAAAACAAGGACCAGGAGCCTCTTCTGGGTCTCCCATGTAGGTGCAGGGTCCCAAGGCTTTGGGCCGTCCTCAACTGCTTTCCCAGGCCACAAGCAGGGAGCTGGATAGGAAGTGGAGCAGCCAGGACACGAACTGATGTGCATATGGGATCCTGGCACTTATAAAGTGAGGATTGAGCCATTGAGCCATTATGATGGGCCCAGGTTCCTACTAATATGCACTCTGGGAGTCAGTAGGTGGTGGCTCAAAAAGTTGAGTCTGTGCAACCCTCATGGGAGACCTGAGTGGAGTTCTAGACTCCTTGCTTTGGCCTGGCCCAGCCCTGGCTATTGTAGGCATTTGGGGAAGTTGAGCTGGTGGATGGAAGATTTCTCTAAGCGTTTCTGTTTCCCTGTTGCTCTGCCTTTCAAATGCATGAGAGCAAATCAAATTTAGAAACAAAACTATCTTCCAAGGAGCAACTGAGTTTGTTTCAAATGGAAACCAGGCTTCTGGTGGTGTCCCTAAGAAAACCCAGATGTGAGTGCTGCCAAACACTTGGCATGAGCAAAGGAATATGGGAGGCAGAGCTCATGAACTAACATTAAATATTTACCCCTCATCCCTTGTAGGGTGCTGTTCAACAGTGCAATTCATGTGTTTATTTATGAAGAAAAGAAAATCAGGTAGGTGATTTTCCACTAGGTTGTAAGTAAGCAGCATGTAGGGATTTTCTGACAGACTTTCTTGATCCAGGATATCCAAACCATTCTCTTCTTTGGGCACTGGAAAGATCAGGGTGAGTGTCTGAGCTGTGTCCACCTGCAGTAGAGGCCGAGCTGGCCAGCAGGCTATTGCATCGTGGCTCTTCAGTTCCACACATCTTCCTCCTGGGCACTCCCCACCCAGGTCCTACTGAGGTAATCACCGATAAATCGGACGCGAATAGTCTGGTCTTTAAGTGGAACCAAGAGGGTGTCTTGTCCATTACAATTCAATTCTGGGTGGGCTGGCCCCTTTCCAGCATCTCATTTGTAGACCCTGCACATGTCTGCCGAGATTTATCTGCCAAGCCCCCAGGGGAGCAGAAAGCAAAGTGATCTGCATTAAAAATGAAAGCGACTGAAGACGACAAACCGAGCTGTAGAGGCAGCTGCAGATTTACCAGGCTGCCCGGCAAGGCGAGATGGCTAGGATGCCAGGGGACAGCCATCGATTCTGAACAAGGAAGAATTCATATTGATTTTCTTCTACTGGGAAAGGTTAAACACTAGTGGGAGAGGATCTGGGGATCTGAAAGGCAGTAGAGCCAAGGCTCCCCCACCCCCCCGGGCCAGACCTGCTCTGCTCTGGAGCATGCGGGGAGAACTCTGAATAGCGCACCTTGCCAAGATGGAATTTGATTGATGGGATACAGGAGCCCATGTTGTCATTGTCATGTGATTTTGGGAACTTCTATATGTATGGTGCAGATCTCCACTTTTTCTGTGGTTTTTAACCCTCCCATGAACAGTGATAAAGAAAAGTGGGCAGGGGAGCTCTGGAGAGCCTGCTCTATTTATTCCTAACTTAGGAGCAATTCAGACACTAAACACAAGGGAAGCCGAATCCTCTGTGTCTCCAGAAAAGCACTTTAGTTGAAATCTTAAAGTGCACAAAAAGAAAGGGGAAAGAGAGTGAGTTAGCTAAGAAGAGAAAATGCAGTGCTGGTTTCACAGTGTATCAGGGTAAGCCACTGCTAGGGATGCCCAGCATCCCATAAGGACACTAGTTCAAGATCTGGCCACTCCACCTGCATTTTAGCTCCCTGCTAATGTGCCTGCAGAAAACAGCTCAACATGGCTCAAGTGTTTGGGCTCCACATGGGAGACCCAGAAGAAGCTGCTGGAAAATCTGTATCTTCTCTCTTTGACTTTTAAAATAAATCTTTAAAAAGAAAAATATCCTTCTTCTTCTTTTTTTTTTTTGTAAAGAAGAAGTGAAAATGCCAAGGCAGAGTAGCACATTAGGCATGTTTGTTTTCCTTACAGAGAGAACTGCAGGCAGCAGTCAATAGAGGGCAGCGAGAGCACCCCGCCACGGAGCCAAGAATGTTGGCGAGAAAAATGTTAACTCTTGACAAGACAGAGCATGTGACATGAGAGAGAAATATCAGAAGCAAAGCATGAACAACCGCTTCCCCACGGGACATACAAATGTGTTTTCAGCTGTCATGGACTTGATTAATCACTCCAAGATTTGGACTAAACCGAGGAATGACATTGACGTGGATGTCCATGTGATAGAGAAGATCAGAATCTTTAAAATTTTTATTTGAGAGGCAAAGAGAGAGAGAGAAAAGGAGTGTTCTCCTCTGCTGCTTCACTCTCTCGGATGCCATGCGCCATGGCAGGGCTGAGCAGGGTGCCATGCGCCATGGCAGGGCTGAGCAGGATGCGATGCGCCATGGCAGGGCTGAGCAGGATGCCATGCGCCATGGCAGGGCTGAGCAGGGTGCCATGCGCCATGGTAGGGCTGAGCAGGGAGCCATGGTGCATGGCAGGGCTGAGCAGGGTGCCATGCGCCATGGCAGGGCTGAGCAGGATGCCATGTGCCATGGCAGGGCTGAGCAGGATGCCATGCGCCATGGCAGGGCTGAGCAGGGTACCATGCGCCATGGCAGGGCTGAGCAGGGTGCCATGCGCCATGGCAGGGCTGAGCAGGGTGCCATGCGCCATGGCAGGGCTGAGCAGGATGCCATGTGCCATGGCAGGGCTGAGCAGGATGCCATGCGCTATGGCAGGGCTGAGCAGAGTGCCATGTGCCATGGCAGAGCTGAAGCAGGGAGCCTGGTGTTCAATTCAGGTCTCCTGCATGGGAGGCTTGTACTTTTCGAGGTGGCACTGTTGCTTCTTGGGGTGTGTGTGGCAGGAAGCTGGGGTCAGGAACAGAGCTGGGGATTGAAAACCAAGGTGCTACAATGTGAGATGTGGGTGGTTTTTTTAAAAAAAATATTTATTTATTTTTATTGCAAAGTCAGATACATACAGAAAGGAGGAGAGATAGAGAGAAATACCTTCTGTTCGATGATTCACTCCCCAAGTGACCTCAACGGCTGGAGCTAAGCTGATCTGAAGCCAGAAGCCCAGATCCTCTTCTAGGTCTCCCACGTGGGTGCAGGGTTCCAAGGCTTTGGACCATCCTCAACTGCTTTCCCAGGCCACAGACAGGGAGCTGGATAGGAAGTGGGGCTGCTAGGATAAGAATCAGCACCCATATGGGATCCCAGTGCACTCAAAATGAGGACCTCAGCCACCAGGCCACTGTGCCGGGCCCTGAGATATGGGTGTTTTAACTGCTAGATTGAATGCAAACTCCCAAGAAAACATTTCTTATATAAACAGACTTTTAAAACATAAAATGAGAATGTCGTGACAGACCAGGTAAAGCCACCATCTGGTGTGCTGGCAGCCCACATGCAGGCACCGCTCATGTCCTGACTACTCCTTTTTTAAAGATTTATTTATTTATTGGAAAGTCACATATACAGAGAGGAGGAGAGACAGAGAGGAAGACCTTCCGTCCGATGATTCACTCCCCAAGTGAGCGCAATGGCCGATGCTATGCTGATCTGAAGCCAGGGTCCAGGAACTTCTTCCAGGTATCCTACGCAGGTGCAGGTTCCCAAAGCTTTGGGCCGTCCTAGACTGCTTTCCCAGGCCACAAGCAGGGAGCTGGATGGGAAGTGGAGCTGCCGGGATTAGAACCAGCGCCCATATGGAATCCTGGCGCGTTCAAAGCGAGGACTTTAGCTGCTAGGCCACACCGCCGCCGGGCCCTGGGTGCTCTACTTCTAATCTAATTTCCTACTAGCAGCCTGGGCAAACAGCGGAAGATGGCTCAAGTGTTCCGGCCCCTGCCACCCTCATGGGAGACCTGGATGAGGCTCCTGAATCCCATTGGCTTAACCCAGCCCCAGACGTGTGGTCATCTGTGGATGGAACCAGTAAATGGGTGAGCTCTCTGTGAATCTTTCATATACAAACATAAAGCTTTAAATAAAAGTCATAGCTTGAGGGGTATTGGTGCTGTGGTGAAGATGTTGCTTGAGGGCACCTAGCGTGGTAGCCTAGTGGCTAAAATCCTGGCCTTACATGCACCAGGATCCCATATGGGCGCCAGTTCATATCCCGGCTGCTCCACTTCCCATCCAGCTCCCTGCCTGTGGCCTGAGAAAGTAGTCAAGGATGGCCCAAATCCTTGGGATCCTGCACCCGCATGTGGGAGACCCGGAAGAAGCTCCTGGCTTTGGATCAGCTCAGCTCTGGTTGTTGTGGCCACTTGGGGATTGAGCCAGCGGATGTAAAATCTTTCTCTCTGTAAATGGGACTTTCCAATAAAAATAAATAAATCTTAAAAAAGAAAAGATGTTTCTTGAGATGCCTCCAACCCATACCAGAATGCCTGGGCTTGAGTTCCAACTGTACTCCTGGATTTGAGTCTCCAGCTAATGCAGACCTTGGGAATCAGCAGGGTCCCTGCCAGTCAGTCCCGGCTGCAACAGGGAAGTCAGGGAGTGAACCAACGGATGGGAGATCTCTCTTTTTGTCTCTGATTTGCACATAAAAATTGATATATACATGAAAATTATATAAAAGATATCTTGGTATTCCTGAATGTTTAAAATACAAATAAAATTATCTTGGCTTTTTTTTTTGTGTGGCGTTTTAGCTGGCTACTTTGGGATACTGTTCCCC